CTTTAAACATAACCATTCGCCCCGCCGCGGTGGTATAGTGGCTAAGGGTATACTCGGCTGCTGACCCGCAGGTCGCGGGATCGAATGCCGGCTGCGGCGGCTGCATTTCCGATAGAGGCGGAAATGTTGTAGGCCCGTGCGCTCAGACTTGGGTGCACGTTAAAGAACCCCAGGTGGTCGAAATTTCCGGAGCCCTCCACTACGGCGTCTCTCATAATCATATGGTGGTTTTGGGACACTAAACCCCAGATATCAATCAATCAACCAATTAAACATAATCATTCCACCTTCGTTCACGCGCCCGCAAATGAACGCAGATTTCGCGCGCGCGCAATGCCATTGTCCAGCGGCGTGGTCACGTGTCCCTGGCTAAACAACGCTCGGGACCGCGTAGCTCGCGGGGCGCGTCGGCTGCGGTGCCCTTTGTCTCTGCCGCCGCAGGGACAAAAGTGTCTTGTGTGCCGCGCGACACGCCGGGACACATGTCTCTCACACCGCTTCCGGCTCTTTCATCGAGAGCGTGCCTCGCTCCACGTTCAGTCAGCATTGTTCCCGGTGCCCTGTACAGCTATTTCGTGTTGTACAGTTATGGGTATAGGTGTTCCACGTGCTCTTCAACGATTGAAAGGTTTCCAATATTTGCCAATTCTGTAAAAAAAAAACATTGAAAAATTCACAAGCCGCATATTCAGCGTGTCTACCTTCTAAAGGCCTTCGGAACGTTCCAAAAGCATTGAGTCTCACTCTTTGAAAACGTCATAAATGTGGTCCTGTAGAAAGAAGGTTCACGACATTGATCCGGAATTATTACGTTCCAAAGGGACGTCCTGTGCCTCAACACTCCTCCACAACTCTCGAAGGTTTGTGTTCCTGAGTGTCTTTTTTTTTAAACAAACAAAATGCTGCGAATGAAGATGGGCACAATGAGGAAACAAACAACGACATGACACTTAGTTCTGTGCAGCGTCCGGCGCATGACAAGCTCGCAAAGTCCTTCAGCCCAGCCGCGACTGTCATCAGAACGCTCATTGGATGTCAATATACTTAGTATATTATTTATTGATATCGATCGCAAGCATCCATGAAGTCATCACCGTGGTCAATCACTATAGTATCTCAAAAGTTGGCCATCTCAGTATCACCATAACGTGCCACCTCCGACGCTACTTGTACAGACGGATGGATGGAAGGCAAGAGGTATCGCGATTGGTCAATCGTTCTTCGAACCCATGTCGTTCTTCGTGTTCTTCCTCTGCTCGTTTTGCAAAAGTCGGTCACGTGTATACGCAAGCTGTGTACGCTGGCTTTACGCCGTCAACTTACCGCCGCGTTACACATACGCCGCACGTTGCGGCAAACGTGACAGATGCAACGTCGATGCAAGTGGGTTCCTCCGCAGCTTGGTCCTGCTGCGACGAGAGAGAGAGAGTTGCATTGCGAGAGAAGGAGGGGGTGTGGGGCGGAATAAATAACGGACTCCTTCCTGGCTCGTGGCAGGACGTTGGCTGCTACCGGCCGAGACGATGCGGAAAGAAAAAAAGACAGTTCCCCTTCCTGCTCGGTGTGCTATCTCGACTGGGGACAAAAAAGAAACGACGCCTCCAGGAACTCACCACCAAAATAAAAGAAATAAAAAAAAGACAGAGCGTAAAGCTTATACGCCGGTGTTTCCTCAAATCCAGTTTCCGAAGTACCACGCTCAGTGCGTCGCCGCGCGTTTTATCAATCGGGGGCGCTGCAAGCAGGCTGCGAAATAATGAAAAAAAAAAAAAAGAAGAGAGATGTTCGACGAAATGGGCACATGGCAGCATCGCGCATGTGACACGAAAATAAGAAGAGGAGGAAGACGTTGATGTGGCTCTAACTAGGCTACTAACAAACAAGTAACTAGTTTAAATTTTTTTACCGACGCACTCATGGCCAATCCCCAGGGCGGTTACGTGCCATATAGGTTTGAAGCAAAAACAAAGCAAGGTATGCATGCGTAAGTGCTCTGAAACCTATACTTGCTGTGCTTCTTGCACGATCTTCCGAGTTCGCCGAACGTGCGGTCGCGTTTGAGTCACCGGAAGATCGACGAACTTCAGTGACTTCACTGACCACTTCAGTGACAATGAGCGTCGCATTGAACGACAATCCGAAGATTGGATCTATAACCTGTTTATCGCGCGATAGATTCAACCGTAACACAAGCCTTTTGTTCCCCTTGTCTGTGTAAAAATAAGGGGGGTGGGGGTGTAGCAACAGATGAAGAGACAGTGTGTGGTAGAAACAGTATGAACAGCGATAATGTGCCCCAGCAGTATACGACGGAGGGTTTCGATAGGTGGGAACATTTCGACAAGGTTCATACCATGGTTCATGTTGCTGGCATTCTTAGCGTAGCTGCACCGCTGCATTCAACACACGCATGGTCATTCGTTTTTACAGGAGCGAAAGTAACGCTTGTTGTCTTATTTGCTCGTTAGGCATTATATAATACGGATCTCGGTAAAACTATACCAGGTAAACGTAAGCGTGAAGTGCGGCCTGGTAGTCTTACTCCCATTCGGTCATTTGCAGATATGCAATGTGTGCTACGCATAGCTTACGCAAACATGCATGCACGTCGTATATGTAAGCGCCCTTGACCGTGAGTATATGTACAAACATTCACGTGTGCGTGTGTTACGGATAATTACTTTCGAAAAAAAAAAAGAGACAGCTATAGACATCATTCATTTTGCGTTATGCTCGTATATACATGACACGCTCAGTCGACTGGTGCATGCATGAACACTGCACGTAAGGTAATTTTTCAAAGTGCATAGACGGCAATCGAACTATTTGCTAGCAACCTCGTCGACACATGTGTGTTAAGACAAAAGAAAGCTATATGTGAGCTAAGTACAAAAGTCTCGAAGAACAGTCTATATGGTTCGACCTTTTTTCTGTCTTCATACTTGTGCCCTTGGCTCTGTATTAGCGAGTCTGGGGTCTGCTTCTGCAGGTATCATGATGTCTTTTTTTGTTTTAGTCAAATGACCATAAGGTGACGTTTTATTTTACTTCAGCAATCAGTCGTCTGCTCGCGCTCATAATGAAACATATGGAAGCCCCAACAGAGTCTTCGTCGGGAGCAGCCACCGTCATATGTTAATCCAATAACCGCATTTCTATTCCGCAGCGGAATGCCGATGGAAATTTGGGCACTATTAGTGCCTCGAAACTTGCTTGCTTAACGCTTAATCCTCCTAAAAAACTTCGTTTGCGAAATATCGCAAACGGTATTCATCGGCACCTCACTGGCACTTTATTGCGAACACTGGCTATGGTGCCATTAAGCGCCACAAATCATCGATTTCATCTCCGCAAGAAGCATATTTTCAGGGCACCGAAATAAACATACATGCAAAAAATATCATCTCTTAACGGCAAGTCGATCTCGAAATAAAAAAGAAAGAATGAGTATTATGGTTACTATACAAGGGCTTAATGTTTGTATCGGGACATCTCGTGCTTGTTCGGAATGAAACCGTTATTGGGATGCGTCTTTGTCGTTCGGGTCACAAAATGGCGGCGAATTAACACACGTATGCATCATCTGCACGATCCCTGCCTGCTCGTACACTCTTAATAAGGTCCCATTTAAAGTGCTAGATACAGCCAGGAAACCGGACACTTTTAGTCTGTTTTCTGGATATAACTAGCACTTAACTAGGCCCAGATTAAGAGAGTATGTTAAACACCAACGCTTACGACGTGCGCACGCTTTTTTTCATCAGCACGCTGCGCGAATAAAAAAAAATGGCACAGCACTATGCAAACTTCACTAGCTAACTTCACTACTGTCTATCTTAAGCTCCAAAACTACAGTCTCGGCTCACCGGCAAACTTTTTATTCTCTCTCTCTTTCTCTGTCTCCCTCGCACTCACGGCGAGCACTAACCGCTTCGGCCCTTGGTCTTACTCACAGCACGATATATCTAAAAGCAAGACGAAAATAAACCACACTGCACTTATAAGCTCTTATAACCATTTGTTACTCTGTGGTCTTGCTTCCATATTCTCTATTATAACCAGTGCTTGACAATCTCAGGAGCTCCGAATTCACAAAGCTACTCGCTGTCAACCATCGAAAAAAAAAAGAATGTCACGTTGCTGCGACATCCTTATGTAAGAGCTGGTATGTTCCGAATATTTTACATGACTTCTTTTATATATGAAAGTTAAAGAGCATGTATCTGCGTGCTCCTTCCGCAACTGATCAGGCATTGTCTCCGATGAATTTTATTCTCAATACAATTAGCATCACTTCAACGTGAAAGCAGCCTTGTGAATACGGAATCCACATTCTTTTTCGGACTATGTGAAATGTCTTTTTTTTTTAATTTTAAGTGTTGCTGATATGTTCAGAAAAACGTTTTATCTTGACTTTTGTCCCATTGCGTTATTGCCAGTGTCAAAGCACTTTTTGAGAGCCTTTAAAAATGGCAACCACACAGGGATCATACATACCATTTAAGGCTGTGGCCATGAACTTCCACACACAAAAAAAATGATTGTTTCCTTGTATACGCAGGGTAAATGTTCACAGTTTCATGTGGGAGGTACTTAACGTCATTCAAAACTATAGAGACGATGTCTTGGCATAAAGAAGATTTGTTTTTTTTTTCTGGGTTTCTAAGCTATCTAACCACAGCGGCTTTACAGATTTTGTCTACAGTTCTTGCATGGCTGTTTTATTTTTTTACCTTCTGACTCTGGATGCTGCGACATATGTAAGATAGCGTGGGGTTCTCTGCGAAAAGAGGCTATGTATATTTTCACGTATAGGAGGTGCCAGATATTGTCGTGATACCTTTCCCGTTTCCATGCTAACGTGTCTCCCTTTTTCTTCCTGCGCGTTCGCGCGGCGTCCTTCTTCGGCAAACGTCTTGTGTCCTCCGCTACTCCTGCTGCCGACTGCCTTCGTCACCTTCGTTGTGCTCGGTGTGTTTGGTGGATGGCCCGTGACTCAGAGGGCAGAGAGTGCGTGAACTGTGGTGCGACGTCGACGCCGCTGTGGCGACGAGACGGCACCGGGCACTACCTGTGCAACGCATGCGGTCTCTACCACAAAATGAACGGCCAGAACAGGCCGCTCATCAAGCCCAAGCGACGACTCGTAAGTAACGACCGTGTCGCACTCTAATGAGATAGATAGATAGATAGATAGATAGATAGATAGATAGATAGATAGATAGATAGATAGATAGATAGATAGATAGATAGATAGATAGATAGATAGATAGATAGATAGATAGATAGATAGATAGATAGATAGATAGATAGATAGATAGATAGATAGATAGATAGATAGATAGATAGATAGATAGATAGATAGATAGATAGATAGATAGATAGATAGATAGATAGATAGATAGATAGATAGATAGATCCTAGTTTTTATCTACTTGTTACTTGTTTGTAACCTACGAGCATACCGGTACATTGTACTTGCTGCTTCAAACAACACGCCTGATCAATTGTATTGTGCCTTTCTGTGCTGACAGATATTTCAGTGTACGCAAACTTGAACGTGTTACTTTGCAAAGTATCACAGCAATAAGAAAAGCTGCGCATAAGCCTGTACATCTAAAAACCGGGAAGGATAACAAGGCTCATATCGTAAACAGCCACTTTTTTTATGCGGAAGAGCAAGGCCCCTTATTCCTATAACGCTGATGCAGGCCCCGTCAGCATGGTGCTATAAAGTAAGCTATTTTTCGAATGAACCTTGGTATGACGAACCTGACGACCAATTTTATAACCCCCAAACGCAGGAAGCAAGAAAGCATGCGCATCATGTGTCACTGTTAAGTAAGCCACTATAGATAAGGCACTGACAGCGCATCCCACCCCACCCTCTACACCTTCCTATACATCGCAGTTCCTTTGCAGTGTTGCACGAAAAGTTGTGCGAGCGGAAAGTAAGCGGGAAAGCGCGCGTTTGCAGAAGGCCGCCGTCTTATGCAGGATTGTGTTGCGCTTTGCACGTTTTCTATTTTAAAAGCCTGCTCAGGCTTAGTTAAAAAACAAAGGACATTAGCTACAACTAGCAAAGAGAAAACCGGGCGGGGCAATTGCCTGCAAGTTATGCAAGGCCAGATCCGCCGGCTACCTACAACATCATCAACCTCTCTGCAGATTGTCCGGTCACACCTAAAACGTGAGACTCAAATACACATTCATATTCGCCTCATATTATAAGCGCGCAGCGAACGGAGGAACAATGTCGGCGCGAGCACTATCGTTAAGATACGCGTGCCTGTAAAAACGTGAAAAATAAAACCTCGCGGCTTTACTGTTCCGTGTCTTTACTGGCGCTCGCACTGTGCATTTCCTTTCGCTATATCTAGAGCCGCATCTACGTGCATCCTCGGTGTGCTAGACTACAGAAAGAACATGTCAGTGAACCCAAGCTCATTTCCTGGCCTAGTAAAGATGGGGGGGGGGGGGGGATGCACTTCTCGCGCATGTTTGGACTTAGGCGCATGTTTGGACTTGTGGTGTCGTAACCACAACCTTCTCGCAAGTATTTCACATACCGGGCGGTCACTTGCCGCTAAAAGAGAGCAATGCGTTAGGACTGAGTATTGCGGTTGCGCGCCGCGTGGGACCGGGTAGTGCCCGCGAGGTATCGGAAATGACCAAAAACCTTCTACTCGACTCCGGCGCCACTGCCGCCACCGCCGCCTAGGGGAGAACGCAGCGTTTTCCTGGACGCCTCGCACTGGCGCTATAGTACCATGCTACGCAAACGGGATTAAAACAAAGAAAGAACATTTGTTCCCAAAGTTGCATAGCCTTGGCATATCAGATGCACGAGCTGCAGCAGCGTGCGTGCGTCTACGTGGGTCAGGAGAAGAAGCGAGGGCGAGACCGGAAGCCACTCTAGTTCTTTTTTACTTCCGGTTTCGGGAACTGCTGCGGTGGGAGAGCATGCAGAGGGAACGAAAGATTAGTGAGAGAATTGAGAAAGCGAGCCCGGATGGAAACGGGAATCACCTCTGGTTTGGAGTATAGTAATTACTGCAGAGAGAAAGAAAGAAGATAAGAAAGGTAGGTAGGTTAACTAGACTAAGCCCAGTCTGCTACCCTACACGTGGGGAGAGGGGAATGAGGGAGAAAAATCGAGAGATAGAGCAGAGTAGTAATTAGTGCAGCCTGTACGCATGCAGGCGGGTAGTGCACGCTGCCGTTTCGTGTGTGTGTGTGTGTGTGTGTGTGTGTGTGTGTGTGTGTGTGTGTGTGTGTGTGTGTGTGTGTGTGTGTGTGTGTGTGTGTGTGTGTGTGTGTGTGCGTGCGTGCGTGTGTGTGTGTGTGTGTGTGTGTGTGTGTGTGTGTGTGTGTGTGTGTGTGTGTGTGTGTGTGTGTGTGTGTGTGTGTGTGTGTGTGTGTGTGTGTGTGTGTGTGTGTGTGTGTGGTGTGTGTGTGTGTGTGTGTGTGTGTGTGTGTGTGTGTGTGTGTGTGTGTTTAGCATCGATATAATACAGGTTAACACATTCGTATAGCACCACGTATGTGTTGAACTCGCGCTTTCTGAGGCAATGCGAAAGGAGTAAAGACTGTGACTGAGGCCGAAGCTCGCCAGATCAGACTCGATTGTAAGCCGCGTCCGAGGCCTCGTATTGCAGCAGCGAGAAAGGAATGCCATCCGGTCGGAAACGACTCTTGTCTCACTACAGAGCGCTCACTGCGTCGCATGATATCGTGAAACGGCGGGCAGCGCGGCAAGCTACTCTTTCCGGCCTGTTATCCGTTTTATTTGTATCATTTTTTTGTCTCGTCTGCATCCGAAAGCGTTATCGTCTGCTCGAAGGAAAGAATTCATAAAAGCGGGTTGTTGTTTTTTTATAATCCTGTATTCTTTGATGATATACGCGATCCCTAACTATATTCCGTAATGGTTTACCTGGCTTGTTATAATTAGCTCGTTCCCATACCGAGATATCGACATTAGTTGATTGCGAAAAATGAATCAGGAAGGGTATGCGCGTTGTAAAGGTTGGAGTTTCCTATCTAATGCTTCCATGTTTTCGAGCTTAAAAAGCAAAACAGCACAACAACAAATTCAAAAGCTTTTTAGGGGGGGGGGGTGGGGGGGAGGTTATAAGCTTTGTCCGTACTGTCTTTGAATAACGTGTTTTATTTTTCATAGCGTACTTGAAGCGCACTTCCAACTTGCCCGTGTACATAAGTGCCTACATGTAGGTTCAAATCAGGATACAGCTTTCATGTTAAAACCTCTAATGTTTTCCATATTAAGCTATATAGTATATATTAAATCATTTATTTTTTCCCCGCACGTCAGTTCTCATAGTGCTATGCTAGCCACATTTTTCTACTGCGTTTATCAATCAGCTTTTGCAAAGTATTGCCCCCCCTCCCTACACACACACGCACAAAATCGCTCTTTTCAAGTACGCATCTGTGTCATTTTCCTAAGACGCCTTCCACGGACACAAAAGCAGTAAATACGTGACGCGCGGGCTCATAAATGTCTCACACCACGACGTTCTAGCTTTTTTTTTTTTCGCTCCTCCATCAATCTGTATTGTCACTGCGTTGTTTGGCAGTCTCTGACAGCAGCAATTCAAACACGTATACTCTTGGGGGTGATCGGCGAGAAAACGAGAAATCCATATGACAGGGATGACAACCCGTGAAGCGTGGCATAGATCGAGCATACACGAATCGGTTCAGATTGAGAGAGGGTGAGGGTAAAATAGAGGAAGAAGAGGAAGGAAGGGGGGGGGGGAGGGAACTCATCATCATCGCCGAATGTAACTCGATCGGCGTGGAGCACACGCGACCGACGCGAAACGACCGATTCGTGACGGCAGCCGCCGACAACAAATTCGAAGTGCGTGTAGAGAATCCCGTACAACGGAGTCATATCCCCACTGCCACTTTTGAACGAAATACACATGTAAGAAAGCTGTAGCAACGGCAGTAAGGAGGAGTCGGTAGTCCGAGGGCAGTCATTGCAACGACGGGTTTTCGTTGAGCGCCGGAAGCGTATGCAAGCCGCGTAGACAGTGTGGCGGACCAGTTCGAAAGGCAATCATCGGCCGGCCGAGCCGATCAATATATAGTCGTGCAAGACGGTCCACCGTGCCCAGTGCGTGAGTGACTCGGGAATCGCGAAGCATGCGTGGGCAGCGTGCTCCCGTGGCACGCCTACAAGCGTGGCGAGGTTGAAAACAACAACAACAACAACAACAAAAACTAATGAAAGAAAAAGAAATACAGTCATGTGTATAACATGCAGCCTTTGTAAGCTCAAAGAGCTCGATTCGCCCAGGTTTCAAAAAAAAAAACGAAAAATAGGAGAAAGTATGGCATGGTGTGTTCAGATGTGACGAGAACAGGAAGAAGAGCAATGATGGCTCGCCGCTAGTTGCCTCCCTAGCATGTCTGTTTTGTACTCTATTGTTGCTATTGTTTCGCGATGTCGGCACCTCAATTTGTGGCCCTACTGCACCCTCAAGTGCCGATATATGGGAATCCCGGTGGAATGAAAGGAAACGAGAATGAAGACGTTCAGTGAATGATGCGCGCGGAGACAAACATTTTATTGAGGTGTGCTGTCACACACACACACACACACACACACACACACACACACACACACACACACACACACACACACACACACACACACACACACACACACACACACACACACCGATATATCGCCTGAAAGATGTAGAACTGTATCTAATCCGTGTGCAGCAAATGTGAGCGCTTTCAGAATCGCGAATAAGGGATGTTCGGTAATGTTTCACTTAAGTGTGTTCCCTTTGACCGTGCGTGCTCGCGCATGTGAGCGTGCTTATCTCGATACAAATGTACATCGGCAAAGGACGCCTGAGTATTCCTAGTTCACAAGTCTATGACAGCTTAGAAGTGTGGCAGCTTTGGCTAGTTTGTATACGACATGACGATAGTCATAGCGCGAGAACAGAACGACCCACAAGAGTGGAAGCTTGGGCTAGTTGGTGCGTATTCATATTTGCAAGGTGCTTCAGCGCGCGAACAAAGGAAAAAAGGACAGGGTAGACAGAAAGAGCGCTGTCGCTTCAGCGCTCTTTCTGTCTACCCTGTCCTTTTTTCCTTTGT